AGCAGCTTTTTTGATGACAGGTTTTTTCAGCGTATCAATTCTGCCTTGTATGCATGCTTTGACCTGACTGCAGTCATTCTGTACTGTACTGATAATCAAACATACGTATGTGTGTACCACATATGTAATGAACAATCTATCCTGTGTCTCTCCATGACAACCTTGTCTCGTGTGCATTGTCTTTTGATACATGTATTATCACATTGTATTTTGTACTTGTGTAGATGTGAACAGGTAATGATCATGACAGGAAACCTTTCCTGAACAGATCATGTGTCTGCACATAGTCAAAATGTCATTCAGTTTCAGCTCTGTAGTTGCGTAATAGATAACAGTGGTGATACATAACATGTTACTGAAATGGTCTAGATCATGCTAGTTTTTGCCAGTCACATGTCCAAATTCACCACCAATCTTGTCCATGACTTTTGTACTGTTAGTGATTCTGAGTATGTCCTAACCATTTCCTCACTGATACTCTTTCTGTCCTTTTCTGTTTCTTATGTTGACTGTTGAAATGCACCTTTATTTTACTTCACATGCCTTCACTTCTGTAGCCTGGTGATTTTGGATCCATGGACCCACAACTGGAGCGTCAAGTTGAAACCATCCGCAACTTGGTGGATTCATACACGAGTATCATCAGCAGCCAAATACGTGACCTGATTCCGAAAACATGCATGTGTCTTGTCCTCAATGATGTAAGTTTTCTTCAACTTATCCATGTTTCATTCACGGTGTTGTTTTTATTCTTTTTGCGTGATACAGCATGGTCACGGTTCGTTTGAGCCGCAACTAGAGAGACAAGTAGAGACAGTTCGTAATCTGGTCGACTCCTACAATAGAATTGTCAGTAAACAGATCCGTGATCTCGTCCCTAAAACCTGTATGCATCTGATGATCAACGATGTAAGTTCGTACGGTAGCCATTCTTGATACATTCTTCCTTAAGGCTCTATCGTAATGCACTCCAATAACAGTTATTTCTCTTTACCAGCTATGTTCTAAAATCTGTTTGTTTTTTTTTAAATACAGTTTTAAGAATTACTACTCAATTGTGAGCTCTACCTATGTTTTGCAACCACAGATTTAGCACAAGGATTTTGTTTTCCTTTGTTTGTTACACTCTAACCTGTACATTATTACCGCAATCATAGAATAGTGTTCTTTATGTGGAGGATGATAATAAATAATTAATAATAATAAATAAATATTAAAAATACAGTCAAACCTGTGTTAGTTGTCCACCTTTATATATAAACCACCTGTCCATATTGACTACCAATGACCAGTATTAAAAGACATCTGTCTAATGTGACAGATGAACCTGCCTATAAAGGCCAACATGACAGAATGTATGTTTGGTGTTTTATCTTCACATTGACATTTAATTATAACAAATGAATGCATTTTTGTTTATTCCCCGTAAAATCTGTTGACAAATTTTACCCTTAATCATAGCCATATTTTCAATCACAATTAAATTTCATCAACCTCCATATAAAGACCATCTGTCTATAAAGGACAACTTGTATTGGGTAGTCATTATACACAGGTTTTACTGTATAGGAATGTAAAGAGATACAAGATGAAAATTCTGTGTAAAACACTAAAATTCAAATCTTCATCCGCCATTTTAGAATTTCAACAATCAATTTTATGAGCAAACCATAGTGTGATTACTGTAATGCTGTACTTGAAACAGACAATATTCTTGTGTCTATTTCTCTACTTTATAATTTTGATTGACCTTCCGTGGATTTTATGTTGAAAGCTTTCTCTGTGAATTGCAATGCATAAAGGAGTCGTTCTTCAATACTAACTTGGTGCTTTGGGCTTTTATTAGTGTTATGGCTTCAGCAGCGGTGTTTGGAATGTAATCTCTATGGTGATTGGCTTGTGAAAAAGCAAGGCTTTTTTCTATTGGTGGATGCTAATCTCTATTGATTGGCTCATATACCTAAACTGAAGAATGCATATGGATTGGCTAATTCAAACACGGCTGATTCATTTATTACGTAATGTATTTCA